TATGTATCAGCTCGGCAGGGCTCTGTGCTCTCTCATTTTTTTCTTCCATGCATTCTGTTGTAATTATCGTTATTGCTCGGTTTTTTGTATTTAGGAATCACGCCGAACGCCGGAAATGTGGGCAACCCCCTCTTCGCATCTACTCTTCAACACCTGCAGGAGCTATCGGCAGCTGGCGGTGCAGCTGGCTTATTGCCCAGCAGCTCGCAGCTCGCTCTGGGCAGCCAGTTTGCAACCGAACTTAACAATATTGCGGCTGTGGGCTGGCCCGCAACTGCTCAGAATACAAATGCTACTTGGCTGGAGCAGGTTCGAAAAATTTAGTTTTTCTATTTGTTGTTATATCCAAATTCTCCCAATTCACAGCAAAAAGATTCTCGCTCGCATAGTGCAAAAAAGTACAGATAAATAAACACTTGAAAGTCCGGTCACTTTTGGTCTGACATATGAAAGCTGTTGAATCGAAGCCTTGTATAAACTTTCTGTATGGCCTATGCGCCCGATGTGAAGCAATTCATGCATTTAATTGTGTTGTCCCCTGCATAATTATGAATTTCTTGGGAAAATAGCTTCATTCTGCATCTAGGAGCCGCAGAATTTATCCATTTGGCCAAACTAACGCAGAATTTTGTAAATGAGATGCAGAAATTGCTGATAAAATTCGAAAAAAGCTGGGCTCAGAAATGCTAAGAAAAAACTTTGTTTGAGCTTGTAATGAAAAAAACAGGGATACTTCATCACTTGAGGCAAAAAAAAAGGTATTTTAAAAAAATTTAATGGAAGTAAGTGATTTAAGTAACAAAAGTTAGCAATACGCAAAAAAACCCAGGCTGGAACGCGCCAGATGGGCCGGTGCGATTATGCATTTTTGCACTTTTCGTGCCGTAGCAAGATCGCAAGGAATCAAAGTAGTTAACCCTATGAAATACTGGCCCTCGAAGTTCGGGGAGTTAATTTTGCAACTATGTGGTATGTCAGTTGTAGGTGTCGACTTCATTGACCCGACAAATGGAA